CATCCAGTGGCCCTAGGGAGGGCACCTTTTTAAGAGACGTGGCAACCGTGGTGTAGGACCACGCATTGGAACACACAGGGCTTTCAGTTTCCACCAGCATGGATAACCGAAATCCTGTTTCTCATCTTAATTTCTATCTGTACATTTCATTGTTGTCACATCCCAAAGCACTGTTCCCTGGGTGGTCCCTGCAGAGAACCACCGTTCATCAGATAGGCCTTAGGACAGCACTCCATACGCACTGATGCTGTCACCTAAAAACTGTTACAGGGCTTCACTGGTTTTCAAAATAAAGTAACTTCCTCATTTGTGAGCACTCTGAGAACTGTCACTAGGCTTAATACAATGCTGCATTCTGTGGGACCTGTATAGAACCAAATCTATTGACTCTTCAGCTAGTAAGTACTTATGATTTCGTGTTTGGAAACATGGACTATTTCTGGCTACTGGAGAGTCTCTTGCTTGCCAAGGTGTTTTCACAAGAGAGTGAGTTCCACATCTGGTCAGCACTGCTTCTGTCTGTGCTCTTGCTTGCTCTACCTCTCTCTCTCTCCCTCTCTCTCTCTCTCTCTCTCTCTCTCTCTCCCTCCCTCCCTCCCTCCCTCCCGCCCTCTCTCCCTCCCTCTCTCCCTCTCTCTATCTCCCTCCCTCTCTTTCCTTTTCTTCCTCTTTTCTTCCTCTCTCCCCTTTCCTCCCCCTCTCTCCTTTCTTCTTTAGTTGCTTTTCTTTTCTTTGTTATGTTGGTTCTTTTAGTAATTGACATATTTTCAGAAAAATTAGCAAGTACCCAACCACCTTCTCTTTCCAGTGTAACTTCCAACTTAAAGTGTGTAAGATAAGTACAAATCACGTGAGAGTTGATCAAAAGATGAACATTGATGCTGTGATAAAATGCACAGGCAAAGATTAAGTTCTATTTCCTATGGAACTTTTCTAATTCCTTAAGGGAAATTTACTTTGCTTTTCAGGAAGGATTTCGCAGACCTTTTTGACATTGTAATTACAAATGCATTAAAGCCTGGGTTCTTCTCACATTTCCCAAGCCAGAGGCCTTTCCACACACTGGGTAAGTTGTGTTTTGCTGTTTCTCATTTGTATCTTTGACTAACACCAAGTACAGAACACTATGTTATATAGGGAGCATCCTGTCTCCTCGAGAAGGGAAGGAAAATATAACCTGTTTACACTAAACTTTACTCAGCTTTCTTCTGTTTCTCACTTTATATGGTAATCATTTGTTTATATGTCAGCCTCTCCCTCTCTTCAGAGACAGAGGACATGGATCTCACCTGAAATTTTCTGTGTAAGTACTACACTGTAAGTGCTTGAGGGAATAAGTTAAGAAGTCAGTCAACCATTTTTGGAGCAGAAATCTCCATGGAATTCACAAATATCAAAACAACACAGGCACATATGCATGCATGCACACACACACACACACACACACACACACGGACACACACACACACACACAGACACGGACACGGACGCATATATACATGCACACAGACACAGGCTTTCTCTACAACAGGCCAGGCCTTCAGAGAAGGCTAGTGAGAATTGTCAGAGTTGTAAAGAAAGAGACTGATGGCGAAACAAGGCCACATGAGAGGAACAGACACTTTGCAGTTGAAAGAGCATGATGGACGTGTGCTGCCCTCACAGGTGGTCAGGATAGAGGAGCAACAGGACTAGGCAAGGTGAATGACAGAAAGTTTCGTTGTCATCTCTGTCCGTTATTTAACTAGATCTCAAGAGAGTAAAATGTGTTACTCCGATTTTTATTTCTGTGACAAAATCTTTTTTATCTTTTATTCTTCTTTCACACAATACATCCTGACCACAGTTTCCCTTCCTTCTACTCCTCTCACTCCCACAAAAATACCAAACAAACAAGCATAACATATGCAGAGGACCTAGGACAGACCCACACGGGCTCTATGATGGCTGCCTCAGTCTCTGAGCCCCTGTGACCCCTGCTTGATTGATACCTGTGAGCCCTGTTCTTCTGTGTCCTGGACCCCTCTGGCTCCTACAGTTCTTCCTCCTGAGCTCCAAGGAGAGGGACCTGATAGAGATCTCCAGTTTGGGCTCTCTCTTGCTTAATGTTTGGCTGTGGGTCTCTGTACCCATCCCATCTACTGCCGGAGAAAGCCTCTCTGATGACAGTTAGGCTAAGCACTGATCTATGAGTATAGTAGAATATCATTAGGCATCATTTTAATGATTTTTTCTGCTATAGATCTCTGACAAAATCTTAAAAAGAAATAGTTTCAGAGATTGCAGCCCAATTCACTCGGCCTTGTTATTTTGGGCCGATGACAAAGTAGACAGTCATGGAAGGGTGTGTGTAACAAAAAAAAAAAAAAAGCCACACCGTTGTGGAATGATATGTGGGAGAATGGACGTGCTTCTCTTGGCTGGCAGGAATGAGCAGGGGGTGGGGGGGGGGGCAGGGGGGTCCTAATTCCTCCAAGCCCCACCTCCAAAAATCTCCTCACTTCCCAGTAGCATGACTAGCTATAACCAAGTCTTCACCACAAGCTGTTGGTAGCATTTAATATCCAGACCATAATATTTGGTGGCATATTAACTTTTGGGAGACTTTGGTCACTCTGCTTAACTGCTGAGTATCCAGAGATAAAAGTGAGACTGTTTAAAAGCTGTTCTGCAGAAGCTCTCCTGGTGGGACCTCGCTGGGGTGTCTTCTCTAGTTGTATGGTACCGTTGGATTTGCAGCCTGGTATGATAAAAATGACAACATGAACTATGCTTTCAGTTATGTTTATTAAGGGACTTCAGAGTCTTCTTCATGAAACACATGTATGAAGTTATTACAGATCCTAAATATACATACGCTGGAGCCAGAGAGGTGACTTCGTAGTTAAGAACTCTTGCTGCTCTTACAGAGGATTAGATTCAATTCCCAGGCTCATTGCTGCTGACATCCCCAGTTCCAGGGGATCCAACATGCTCTTCTTGATTCTCTGGGCACTGCATGCAGGTGGTGTGCATGCATCCACTTAAACGTATGTATATACATAAAGTAAATAATTAATTAAGTCATAACAAATGTGGGTATGAGAAATACTAAAAATAAATATACCCTGTATTTTTTGTTTTATTTTTTAAGTAGAGACACATTTTATAGCCCTGGTTGGTCTGGAACTCACACAGTAGGCCAGGATAGAGTAACGTTATAGTGATATTCATGCCTAAATATAACACTTTTCAAAATTATCATATTTGTGGTTCTACAAAACCTTTTTTCAAGAAGTTATACTTTCCCTAACTGTAGTTTTTATCTTAATTATTACCAGCTGAAATTATATATTTATGATATGCACCGTGGTACTTGAACATGTGTGTGCATTGTGTAATGGACCACTCAGGCAATTTAACACACGTATTATGGTACTTAAAAGCCACTTTTCAAAGGTGCATTACATTCCCATTAAGGCGGGTCATCAGGAGGTTTGGTGGAGCCCTTACTCTAATCCTTTGTACATTTCATCTTTGTCTGACATCTCTCCAATCCCCCCCTCGCCCAGCCTCTCTTAGCCATGACTTTAGTCTGTTGACAGATCAGTTTTTTTACATTCTACATATATGTGTGATCATATAGCATTAGTCTGTCTGTGCCTGGCTTATCACACTTTATCTTAATATCCTCTAGGTTTATTGATACTGTTACAAATAAGATTGCTTTCTTCCTAAGGCTGAGCAGTATCTCACTGTGTATATGTCTGACCCTCCATACCTGTAGATTCAATCAGCCTCAGGTCTAAACTATTTTTAAAAAATTACATAAGCACCAAACACCACGTGTGCAGATTTTTCGTTGTCATTCTCTAGATAACACATTGTCAACTATTCCTGTTACTTTTACATCACATTAGATATAGAAGTAACTAGAAGAGATAATATGAAAGTGGATAGACACGGATGATTTGCAAATGCATGGTGTCTTATGCTGGGGACTCTGGAGGTGGCTCTGGAACTAGCCTCCTATGGATGCTAAAGGGTAATTATACACATACATTTTTCTTAATTCCTTCATTGATGTGGTCTGACTCTGTATCTTGACCATTAGGGAAATGCTGTAATGAATATGGGAATTCAGATATCTCTTGTGTATACTGTGACTATGTATTCAGTGGTGCAATTGCTGGATTATATGCTAATTTGGTGTTTAGCAGTGTCACAGATTGGACCCCAACCTTCATACATGCTAAGCTCACTAGTGCCCCGGCCCTATTTTTAATTTTTGGAAGAACCTCTATGCTATAGTAATTTTATTTTACTAAATAGTATGCAAGAATCCCCTACCAGGTACTGTCTGTGAGTTCTTTTTCTATTCTTTCATATATTACATCCCAATCACAGTTTCCCTTCTCTCCTTTCCTCCCAATCTCTCATTCCCCATTCCCTTCTTCCCCAGACCCACCTCCCTCAACACCATCTCCCCTTAGAAAAGAATGGGCCTCCCCGGGACATCAACCAAATATGGCATAATATGCTATGATAATACCAGGCATATACCATCATACCATGGCTGGACAAGGTGACCCAGAAAGGGTCCTACAAGCAGGCAAGAGTTCTGTGTGACACGTTCTCATGGTGTCCCTGGTCACTTTGGTTCCTCCAATCCTTCCTTCTCCTCTGCAGGATTCCCCAAGCTCTACCTAATATTTGGCTATGGAATTCTGCATCTGTTCCCATCGGTTGCTGGGTGAAGTCGCTCTAGTATTTAAAAAAAGAAAACTTTCTAAAAGGAGTGAAGTGATTTCTCCTTGAGCCTTTGATTTTCTTTCTCTTATTGATTAATGATGATGAGCTTTTTCATAGATTCATTGGGCATTTGTATATCTTTAGAGAATGCTTGCGCAGGTCCTTTGTGTCACTCGGGTTGGTACTTTTCTACTGGACTCCTTATGTGTTTACCAGTCTGGTGGTGGAACTTGGGGGAATCGAGCCTAAAAATGAAGTGGACTAACGTCTCAAATAACAGCCAACTTTATTCAGAACATCAGACAATTTATACTCTGGAAGTTAAAGTTCTCATAAGTGCAAGCTGTATACAATCATAAGGAGAGGCCACACATGGCAAAAACATGTTTTCCCATAGAAACATATAAAGGATAGTATAAACATTTAATGAAGTAACCGCAGCAAGCAATAACGATTAATCTGAAGTAAACTCACTCCTATCCACGACACCTGAGAGGAGCACAAAAACCACATTCCAAGAACAATTCTATGTTTTGAAGAAACTAAGGTCACAAGACCCTTGTCTTGTTTTCTTGGAGTTTCCTCATAAGCAGTCAGAATTCTCCTCACATGGCTTCATTCCTGGACCGTGTTCCAACATCTCCTTTCTTGTTGTTTAAATGCAGGATTCCAGAGCAGTTTTGACTTGACATGTTGCAGATACATCTAATTATAATTCGATGCATGAGTATCCTGTAAACAAGCAAATTATAAACATTATTAGATCAGTGAAAACATTGTGTCTAATACTCTGCCACCAAGAACAGGGATCCAAATTATTATCTTGGTTGGAAAAATCTAGAGAATAGCTTGAAAAGAGGCACATATGATGTAGAATGTAAGCCCATATTTGCCTTTAATAGAAAACAAATCTTATGATGGCCAATGCAAATAAATTTAATGCAGGACCTTCTCCGGATGAACCAATGATTGAGTCTGTTACAGCCCCAAAGTCCAGTTTTAAACACTTAGTCATTAGGAAAGGTAATAGGAGCTGGAGCCATCCAATCTACAAGCTGAAGCAAAGGGGAATGAGGAGCATAAGACCAATGCGTATGCTCAGAGGCTCTCAATGCAGATATACAGGCCCCAGCAGCCAGCATTGCCAGTGGCACAGGCTCTGTGGGTTTGCGTCTTCCGTGATACATAGGGCCTTGGCTTGGCCCCCGATAGGCAAACTTGACTTCTGATGATATAGCAGATATCTTATTTTGCCCTTTAACTGGAAGTTTGCTATCTTTCTGGTGACTTCTACCATCTCCACCCTCCATCATTGTCCTTGAAGGCCCAGGACCAGCGGAACCAGAGAGGAATCTATAATGTTGCAGTTGATCCATCTGTAATGACAGATGCATATTCCTTCCCAATTTTCTTCTGGAGAAGAAAGCATAGGGCAGGTTAATGTATCAATTTGCTTATTTCCTTCTTGTGTGGGGCAGGGAGATTGGAATGTGCAGAAGTGAGTCTGTTGCTAGCAATAATCCTGCACCATAGGAGAATCTGAAACAGTATTTAAGCATTTATAAATTAACCATAAGTGAATCAGAACAACCAGTTCAATAGTTTGATAAATATCTGGACCATGAATTCCTCCTACACTAAGTTTCTGCCTGTGGGATAGGAGAAGGTTGGAGTAAGGGAAGCACTTAGTATTTTATGACCCATGTGGCATAAATAAATCCATTCCAAAGGTCTATCCTCTTGTGCTATAATCTCTGCAGGAGACAATTCAGTGGAGAGAATAGGTTTAAACGCAGTGAAGGATCCACACAATACACGAATGCCTCTTTTAGTCTGGATTCAAATAGCTGTAGTTCTTTTCTTGCCTCTCAAGATGCTATGCAAAGACTGTCCAAAGCCACCTCTCCTAGAGTTGTAAATAGATTGGTTAGTGCATTAGAAATACCAAGCACAATTCATGACGCTGGAGGAATTGGTAAAAGAATTCCATTTCCCTGCCATGCCCTAGCTTGTCTAGTTTGTAAAGTTAGCTTTTTCATAGGCTCTCTAAGTCTTCATCAAAAAGTAGCTTATCAAATTCTTCACCGTGTGCTTCAGGGAAATTCTCAGGCAGTGGAGGATGTGTATTTAAAGGGGGCTGTAGTAAAGGATGTGAGGGAGCCAGCACAGTTATCGGGAGAACTGGTTTGACGTGTAAGTCAGCCTGAACGGGGGAAACTTTTACCAATTTTGAAGTTTGATCATCTAGGTTGTAGTCATTCGATGACTAACCATCTCTTCCTCCTGATTAATGTCTTCCTTATCGCCCTTAAATATTTGGATAGCAGTTCGAATTAATCCCCAGGTGACCCAAAATTGAGCAGGGATCTTTTCTCCTAGTTTATATGCCTTTTCAATATTATTTTGGACTCTATCCCATACTTTTGCATCTAAAGTTCCTTCTTCTGGAAGCCAGGCACTGTAATTATAAACGACTCGCAAGCAATCTAGTAGTTGAGATTTTAATACTTGTGCCCTCCTTTTGTTCCAAAAAGACGCCCTAGTTGAACATAAGGCAAAGCCTTTCCTGGTCTCCACCCCACTTCGCTCGCTCCCCTCACCCCGTTCTCTTATCTCACAGGTGACCGCAGGGCCCTCATCTGTGGCAACACCTGTTTGCCACTCTAAAGAAGGTGGGACCTGGGAAAACTGGGCCTAAAAATGAGGTGGACGACATAAATAATAAATGCAGAGCCAACCTTACTCAGAGCCTCGGAGACTTTATGCTCTGGGGGTTAAAAAGAATCACATAAGTCAAGTTCTTATGAGCTCAAGCTCTACAGGATCACAAGGGCAGGTCACACGTGGCAAAAAAATTATTTTTCCATAGAAGAATATGATGGATAGTGTAAACATTTAATTGAATAATAACAGCAAGCAATAGTGAGTAATCTGAAGTAAACTCACTCCTATCCATTATACCTGGGAGGAACACAGAAACACATTCTAAGAACAACTCCATGTTTGGAAGCAACAGAGGTCACAAGACTCTGGTTTTCTTGGAGTTTTCTCACAAGCACTCAGAATTCCACACACACAGCCCCAATACATAATGTATTTTGAATATTAACCCCTTATTTGGGGTTTGCAGATGCATTCTCCTCCTACATGATGTCTTTTTGCTCCACTTACTGTTTCTTTTACTGCATAGAAGGCAGCTTTTTAGTGTGATGTAACCCTTTATCCATTTTTACTTTATTACCCCTGGTTTGGAATCCTGAAAAGTCTTAGAAAATCTGTTTATAATTCTATTCTACTGTTTCGAAGTCTAGATTGGTATTGAGCTATGCCCTGTCATGACTTCTATAAGATGCCTAGAAACCTCAATTATAAATTATACCATGAAATGTTTAGAAATGCTTCATTGTCCGAGGGTGTTTAAGGTTCTTTGGTTCCTTAATTTTCTGGACTTCTGATATAAAACATTTAAATGGAAGATACAAAGAATCCTGAAGTCTGGGGATTTAACCCAGATGACTGAGAGTTCAAGAGAAGTTATGGCGATCTGTGTTCATCAGAACGTGGCATTGCTCTTCCTGGAGAGCCTGTGGCTCTTGCCCTGCTGCTGCATTTACTTCCTGTAATCCCCCGCTCTCTCCAGCCCACCATCCGTCAGTGCCCCCCTTTTCCGGTTCCCATTTTCACGCTAAGGACCCCAGCCTTCTGTGTGTGCACCTCCCTTCTCTCTGTGGGCCTTCGGCTCCCTGGATGCTTGGCTCTCACTTATGCATTGACAGGTTCCAGTTTCTTGTTCTCTAAATACAGAGATGTAATATCTGTCTTTTACACTTTCCACACCCCGGAGGAGGTCTGAACACTTGGGGTGCTCATAGGAGCTCATCAGCCCCCTGCCATTTAGCCGATCCATAATTTCTTAGGAATTTTGCCAGTCACAGATCTTATGAAAATAATGAAAAGCAGTCATTCTCTGTGTCACCCTGCTCTCCACCTGTCCTTCGGCTGGCCACTACCTTCCTCCCTCTGCCCTCATCTTCTCTCGTGTGATTTGACGCAGCGCTGCAGTATGCTTGAGTCACTATGCTCAGCTCCAGCCCACATCGGCTCTGCAGCCCTCAAACACACGCCGTGTTAATGATGCCCATCAGATCAGGCCTCTACTATAACCGACAGAAGTAAATTGAATCTTTGTTCCAAACAGTTAAAGGCAGAAAAATAAAATGAAGACAGAGACCTTACTGAAATAAAAAATCCCAGGAGACAATCTCTGTATTCAGTGTGTCCATAGTGAGTGGCATGAGCTTGATGTCAGTGGTTGTCATGGTAACTTGAGAAGAACTGATAGTGCTGTAGCCAATTGGGGTCCAGCAACTCTTTCAGCCTGATCCCTGCTGACCTGAATAAAAAGGGGGGAGGGGAGCATCACGTGGGCAGAATCTGCATTCTCCGCCTACACTATGCAAAGGGAGACCCCACCCTTACCAATGCCCAGGTTTGGGGGAGGAAGGGAGAATCTCTGCCTTACAAGGTAATAAATTTCAGATGGACTCAGTTCCTGTCTGACCACTGCACTGTCATCTCCCACTCCCTGCCCCATTGTGAAAATTCCACATACATCTCTGGTCCCTAGGCTTCAGCTGTTGTCAACATGTGGACTTCGCCATCTCTCCCTACCTGAGTCTCCTTTCCTAAACATTTCCTTAAACATTTTCCTTCCACCTAGAAAACAAAGACAACCAAGCATGCTGATGAATCAAATCACCTTGTGTGGTTGCCATGACAACTTAACCATGAAACTGCCTGAGCCCGTTATTTTCACCCTGCACCACTGCTGCGCAGTTCTTATGTAATCTCTCTCCCTGCTGCTCTCTTCCTAACTCCTCTAGTGCTTTTCATTCACAATAGCATCAAATTGTTGTCCACCACTAAGCAGAGCAGCGTCTTTCCAGTGCCTCGCTTATTGGCAGGCACAGCATATATTCATCCTCAGTTACACAATCATAAAGGTTCCCACTCCATATACACATCCTTTGGCTAGTAAGATTCCCTTCCCTTGCCTAATGTGTACTGCTCACAGTGCCTCTGCTGAAAACGTGACCTTTTACCCCTCATCCAGTCCTGGCTGCTCTCTCTCTCACCGCTTTTGAGACTAGGGTGTATACAGTCGCCTGTGGCTCTTGTTAAAATGGAGACTGGTTCAGTGGGCCCGGTGAAGCCTCGGTTTCTGCATTTCTAAGCTCAGAGGTGGCACTCTGAGGGACAAGGCAATACAGGGGAAGCATCCTGCCTCTACCTGGCGACTCCCTACCCCTGCAATGGGTGGCTGGCAGGTCATACCTGTCTGGTCCTTCCCTGGAGCTCCTTGGCAGTTCCCTCCTCACAGCCTGCTGAGGTTTCTCTCCCACTGAGGTGTCCCTGCTGTGGGTAGCAGCTGTGTTTAGAAAGCTGTCCTTGGCACTGCGCTCCTAACATTGCAACATTGCTGAATGAGAGTGGCTGAGTCTGTCGTACCAGGTACAGTTCCCTAGGCACACTGGGATTACAGATGTGTGCCTACACATTGGTGAATGAGAGTGGCTGAGTCTGTCGTACCAGGTACAGTTCCCTAGGCACACTGGGATTACAGATGTGTGCCTACACATTGGGCCTTGTGTGCACTCTGGGGACCCAAGCAACGTCCTTACTCCCATCCAGTAAGCCATCTCCCCAGGCCTCTTCCTGTGTCTGTTCTTCTGAATTTGCTCCAACTTACTAGCAAGCTGTTTGTTTTTTTTAATAGTATAATTGTCCCGGTATAGCCCCTGTTTTGTGAACTTTTCCTGAGAACACACAAGTAAAAATCTACTTACTCTAGTCAGGATGGTAATAGAAATGAAGAAATAATTGTACCAATGACTTAGTGAGCTAATTAGGGTTACATACAGGAAGGAACCCTACTGTAAGTAACCACTTCCAGCAGTTAAATGGCTAACTACCTATACTCAGGAACGGGTAGGACTTCATGAGTCCCTCCCCCAGAAAAAGGGACAGTTAATGGACCCAATCTTCTGCAGGTCTCCTGTCTCTTAATGATACCCACACTTGGTAAGGATTCAAAAGGCAGGAGCCATGTCACCCTAGAAAAGGAGCCACTAGTAGGATAATTGTTATGTCATTCCTCCCAACATAAATTAACATTTAATAGATGTTTTGCTTGAACTTTTTCATTCTACTCATAGCAAGAAGAAATATACATAGACTTAAGAAAACGTACAATGGATGTGTAAGGGTTCTAGCTCACATTGTGGGAAAGTTATATGAAGCTCAGTAGGAACTGTTCATCAAGGCTCACATATAGGAAGGAATCCTAGAAACAGTAAGATTTCCAACTAAGGTTAAAATCATAATCCATCACTTAGTAATGTTAGAGATAGAGAAAGGGTAATCTCAGTGTTACAGAAAGGAACACATGATCAAGACAAAGTATCTATGTAAAACGGGTATGTTTCTGCTGAAAGCAGGCTACCAAGTACTTGGGTAGCTCTCGGGATGGCTCCCATCCTTTATCCTTACCTGGGTAGTGACTATCTCATCCCATTGGCTGGAGATTGATTTCATAATCTGCCACGATTGGCTATTCAATGCAAAGGCAAAGGGGAGGTTCCGGAAATACGAGTCCTTGTAGGCTAACTACACATCCATCATGACCTCTATCTTTCAAATATATTAAGCACAATCCTCGTCGTATTCTACAAACTTGCTTATTAAAAACATTTGGTAATACTAACTATAATTTTATCCTGCTACTATTTTAGATAAATGTCTCAGTCCTCCACTTTTACAAGGAAAAAGCTACAAATAGATTTTTCGTACCCTGTGGAATGAATTAGAATCTGAAATGGAAACAGAAATCAGTAGTGTTCTTTTTTTTAATATTTTATTTATTTATTGTGTATACAGTCTTCTGCCTGCATGCCAGTAGAGGGCACCATATTTCATTCAAGGTTGTTGTGAGCCACCATGTATTTGCTGGGAATTGAACTCAGGACCGCTGGAAGAACAGTCAGTGCTCTTAACCTCTGAGCCATCTCTCCAGCCAGAAACAGAAATCAATTGCTCTCTTATCTCACATTTTTTAGATGACTGGGTCTCACCATTTGATTCAGAAAATGTTTTTCTGGGCAAGAAATCAAATCCAGAACCTTATACACACTGAGCAAATACTCTACCACTGAGCTATGTACATTGCATGCAACATTTCAGAAACCATAATCCATAGACTTTTTGTACTTCATAAGCACCAGAAAGATTTGCACTGACTTTGAGAAGTGAATATCTACATGTCAAATATAAGTCTACCTTCAAAAATTCCACTGTATTTACCACTTGTCCGCAAGCCTACATTGTATACAAAGTAAGACATTTGGTACTAAATATAAATAGATGAGAGAAGTGATCACTCGGTATACATCTCCAAGAGACAAGTTGAATTTTCTTAGGGTTTAATGTTGGGCTGCTAGATGGTCTGGCTTCAAACTGTTCTTTTGAAAGTAGGATTTTCATTGGATTGTGCAGAGAAATTAGAAAAAGCGATTCTAGAATGACAGCAAAAGTTCTCGACCATAAGCTGCCAGTTGTATATGCAACTTTAATCATCTATACTTGTACTTTCAGAATTGTTCAAAGTATTTTAGATTGGACACACATTTTCCTCATGTTATAGTGATGTATATTTCACTTGTCATTGTCAAGTTAATTAAATTACTTCCCATTTAGCTGCAGTAACCTTCATTTAGTCTACCAATACACATATGAGGTGATTTATATTATAAGCTGAGCACACATTTAGGGAGTCTGCTTATGACTTTTACCTGTAGAAATTAAATTTTAGCTTAAGGTACTTAGCAGTACTAGAGATATGGTTTTAATACCTGACCTACATAGCTTTTCCTCTTCTGTATAAACTCTTGTCCTGTTCCAAGGTTGATTTTATAGAAAAGCTAACAAAATTTAAGCTTTAGGAACTCCTCAATTATCCTTCTCAGATCCCAGTGGAGACCATGACAATTTGGTATTCATTCTCTAAAAGAGGGCCCTTTGTACATTGCATGTGGCTGTGTCTCATTGAAACTATTCTTAGAGGCGCAGCAAAGAGGCCAAAGGTAACAAAAACCACAAGAAAGACCAAGTCGACTGTTTTGAAATCTAAAGTCATTGCATTCCTGGGAAAGGGGACTTCTTCCTCTCATGTAGTTTCCAAAGCTGTACTAATGGCTTCCAGAGTCTTTAATGGCATATCATCTTTTTCATTAAACTTTATTAAACATGCAGATCGTCTTCAGCTCCCAGCCTGTGTCAAGGCATATGATAGCAGGCACCATCCAGAGTATCAAATACACTTAGTTTCTTTCACTCGCCCTCTTTTATCAGGGGCGAAGGGTAGGGAGAGTTGTGGAGAGGCAGAGCCCAAGTAGCATGATGGGAGGGAGAAGACAGTTTGGACCAGTGGAGCTCTTGCTTTAAGAGAAGGTAGTCCTCCACTACTCCCTCTTCCTGCCCTAAGCTACAAGTCGAGTGAAGTAATTGAATCCTCTCAGGTATAATTTTGTTTTGTTTTCTTTTGTTTTTTTGAGACAGGATTTCTCTGTGTAACAGTCCTGACTAACCTGGAACTCTTTCTGTAGACCAGGTTGGCCTCAAACTCACAGAGATCCACCTGCCTCTGCTTCCTGAGTGCTGTGATTAAAGGCATGTGCTACCACTGCCTGGCTATATTTTTTTCTTAGGATTTTTTTCTCAATATGTGTTTTTATTTAAATTAGAAACATGCATGCTTCACATGTCAATCCCAGCTCCCTCTCCCACCCCTCCTCCCTTGTCCCTCCACCAGCCCCCCACCCAATCCCCACATCATTCCCCAGGGAGGGTGAGGCCCTTCTTGGGGGATCTTCAGAGTCTGTCATTTCATCCAGGGCAGGACCTAGGCCCTTGCCCATGTGTCCAGGCTGAGAGAGCATCCCTCCATGTGGAATGGACTCCCAGAGTCCATTTGTATGCCATGGTAAACAATGATCTGTTACCCAAAGCCCCAGAGATTTCTGAAGCCTCCTCACTGACACTACATTCGTGGAGTCTGGATCAGTCCCCTGTTGGCCTCTCAGGCATCAGTCTGGGGTTCAAGAGCTCCCCCTTGTCCAGTCAGCTGTCTTTGTGGGTTTCACCAGCACGGTCTTGACCCTTTTGCTCATCACTCCTCCATCTCTGTCCCTGGGTTCCAGGAGTTCAGTTCAGTGTTTAGCTCTGGGTATCTGTCTCTGCTTCCATCAGTCACTGGATGAAGGTTCTAGGATGGCATATAAGGTAGTCATCAACTTTATCATCAGGAGGGGCTATTGCTTAGTTTGCCAATTGGTGTTAACCTTGTAGATCTCTGGAAATCTCAGTAGTGTCAGCTCTCTCCTCAAACCTATAATGAATCCATCTATTATGGTATCTCTCATCCTGCTCTCCTCTATTCTTACCTCAACTCAACCTTCCTGTTCCCCAATGCCTTCTTCTCCCCTCCTCTTATCCATCTCTCTTTTTCCTGGTTCCCTCTCTCCTCCCCCGATATTCCCAATCTGCTCAGGAGATCTTGCCTCATTCCACTTCTCTGGGGTATCATGCATATCTCTTGATTTAGAAAATTATACAGTATATTCTGATCACATTTTCCTCTTTCTTAACCCTTCCAAGATCCCTCCCTGCTTTCTCACCTATGTAACTCCATACCCTTTCTTTCTCTCTCTCTAAAGCACAAGCAGAAACAACAACAACAACAAAAACAAAACAAGAAACACAAAGACCACACACACACACAAATATACAAGATATACAAGCAAACGATCAATAAGACCAAAAAAATGGGGGGCAATATGATAAAAAAAGAAGTCTATCAAAATACCATTGGGTTTGTTTTTTTGTTGACCAACTACTCCTGGACATGAGCTTATCCTGGTATGGTTAATATATCCAATGAGACTCAATTAAAGATTACTATGTCTTCCTTTGCAAGCAGGTACCAGTTGCAGATAGCTTCTTTGGTAGGGCTGGGACCCATGTCCACCTCCCCCACTCAGTGCTAGAACAGGATGCAAACTTTAAGCCTGGATTTAGCAGGTCACCATTAACAGTCTATTCCCTCCCCCAGAAGAAAGGACTTAACTGGGTCTCTATGATGATGTTCACTAAGTGAACCATTTTGTTAAAGCAGAGGCAGGGTAGCAAGATGGCTCAGCAGCAGATAAGGGTATTTCCTGGCAAGACAGAGGACCCAGTAACCTGAGTATAATCCATAGAGCTATAGAGTTGAAGGACAGAGCCAACTACTGAGATTTGTTCTCCGATCTCCAAATGTGCACCATGCATACACCGTACCTCTATACATATATAAATAGATACATGTGAACACACGTGCGTGCGCACACAGAGAGAGAGAGAGAGAGAGAGAGAGAGAGAGAGAGAGAGAGAGAGA